CCCCAAAACCCCAAAACCCCAAAACCCCACTCGCTAAATATTAATCTAAAATACAGTTTCTGAAAATAGAGGAATTATTGTTAATTAGAGTCTGAAATCAAATTAATATTATTATTTTATCAATACTAAGTTTATTTTTCGAGTAATTTTTTTCAAACTTCATTCGTGATTCACTTATCTTCTTCAAATGCCTAAATCCTTGGATTTCTAATTGGACTTTAGGGATTATAGGCTGTCTTATTTTAATGCCATTTTTATTTCAAATTTTCAACAATTTCATCAATGTCATCTAGTGTATCAATGTAATAGTACTCATTCTACAGGTCTTCATCTTCAACATACTTCTTTATAATTTTGAATTCCCTTATATGTGAAATTTTGACATTCTTGTTGCTAACATTCATCAGTTCTTATTGAGAAGATAAGACAGCACCACCTAAAGCTTTATACTAGTTACTCTAAGTCTTGATAAATCCCATCTCGAATACCTTCCAATATATGAAAGCAATTTACTCAACTTATTCAGGGGTAGCAGAGATTGACAATCTTCCTAGTAAATTAAGTTTCTGAGAAATTTCATTGTTTGCAATGGGAATGATATGACCTAATAAATCATGAATATAGTCTGGGTAAGGAGAAAATGTCAAGTCTTGTTCTCTTCTTATGATTTAAGTAGAGCAATAGACTTTATTAGCTAATCCTTCAAGATAATCTTTGTCAGAAATTAAGCCTGGAACAGGCCTTATTCTCCAACTATTTAATTGATGAATTTTATCAGATACCTCAAACAGTTGAGGTATATTTTTTGAATTAAACTTTATCTGCTTATTTATTAAGTAGAATGCCTCTTTTACTTAATCGCAAGCATGATTCTCAATGATCTTCTAATAAGACAAGTACACTTCTCTCCATGTTCTTATCTCACTATTAGTGTATTGAATTATGGGAAGAATTGCATTCTATTAATTGTATTTTCCCATTATCTAACGACATCTTTACAAGTAATCTTAATCAGTGAATATTTAATTCATTCTCTTGGATGCTTTAATTTCTTTATGTAAAAATTTCTGCTGGCTCAAAGCAAAGTCAAGGCTCACTTCTTGTACTTTTTGTAATGCTTATCTCATTATAGGAGTGTTAACTTAGTTTATAAAATATAGATATAAAATTAAGATTAAATTCAAGTGTTAATTTATTAAAATAATCATAATAGGTGTAGTAAATGATAGATTCACAGAACTTTCTCAAGTTGTGATTGTTTAAATAATTAATCGTCAAATATATCTCTTTGAAACATGTCGCAGAGTTCTTTTGTTTTGTCGGGCATAATAAAGACAACAGCTTCTTCTCCGAGAACCATTAAAGCGTATTTATAGCAAATTTCGTCACTAGGTTTTTTGAATCTTATATTCAGTCCGATTTCACTTAATTAAATTTTTAAATCGATTCCCAACTTTACTTCTATCTCTTGCAATTAATGCTTGAGATATTTTGCCAGTTAGTAAGAGTAAACGGCCTCTTCAATGTGTTCATTGAGAGTCTTACTCATTAGATAATCCCAAGTAAATAGAGGGGCATGTCCACTTCTAGATGTAGTAAGAGTATAATCTTAGCCTCTAATATATATCTCTTAAAGATGATCAGATGGCATCAGAGTTTTATCTCTTATGAGGAGCACTGATGATGGGAAAGGAGATGGAATCCATTTGTGAATGCTTGTAGTGATGCTTTTGACTTCTTCAAAGGAGAAATCAAATTATGCATTTTTTATTGCATCTCTTGGCAGGCCTAAATTTTAATTTTCTGCTGCCATTTCTAAAAACCTTGCATACGGTCCGCACCAAGCACCATCAATATGAATCCAATGATTTCTATTGTCTGTGTAGAATTCATATGAATGAAGTGCTTAAATAACTTTTCTAGTATTATCAAAAGCAGATCCAGATGTTGTGCCTGCTGTTAAAGAAATTACAATTGGAATTTAATGTTCTGCAAATGGTTTAAGCATTAACTGAAATTATTCTACGTTAACTTGACCATCTTCCAATACTGGTAATCTCTCAGGCCAGTCGATCATGCCACTTTCTAATAGTTCTCTTGGAATTTTTAGATCTAAGGTTTTCGCAATTTAGTTAAATGAATTCATTCTTAGGTAATAAATGCTTTTGTTAAGAGAAGAATGGGCTTTTGAAGAGTACAATACTGGAACATGCTTATAGTTTTTAAAATACTCTCTCGCAAAATATATTCCTTGCAAATTACTCTCAGTGGAGCCTGAAGGCATGTAGCCCCAAACTTATTTTGGATTCGGAGATCGATAAAGCTGGGCAAAGTAATGAATTACTTGTTATTCAAATTATCTAGTTCTCAGACTGTTATAGTCAATATCTGCTTAGAAAGAGTCTCCATGGTTATTAAGATAGTGCCTTAGGTAAGGTGCCATCTTCTCAAAATTATGGTGTCTTATTGGGAAACTAAGTTGTCTACTTGTATGATCGTCAAACTTTCTTTGGAGATTTTAATGGAATTAATCAAGATTGATTTTCTTATCATTATACAGGTCAAGAGTAGGAATATCTTGAACAGTTTGATATTTTTAATATAAAAACTGTGGATCTTCTTTGGAAAGCTAAATTCCTTATTTTTAGGTTTAGGAGAGTATATCATTTTAGCAAAGTTCCTAAATTGATTTAAAAGATAAGTAAATTTTCATACCTCTTTGATAGTTGAATGAAAAGAATTTGCTACAGGAGTTTATATACCTCTGAAAGCAGAACTAAATATTTTGGTAGTTGACTCGCTAATACTCATTGAAAATTTCTTTAGCATAAAATTAATAATATGTTAAAATAAAGTCTTCAGGAATAATAAAAGTGTACTAAATACTCCAATAATTGATACTTAAATTTCATTAAACTTAATTTAAGAATTATTACCACTATTTGTTAACATTATCATTCTAACGGGGTTTTGGGGTTTTGGGG